CTTTAAAAATAATTAACACTAAATGAAGAGGAGACAAGATGGTAGAAAACTACTAGACAATAGAAAAGGGCCACTCAAGAGGAAAAATGGAAAATTATAGAGAGAGCTGTTGGTTTGTAGCCTTCATTAAGAATGTTTGAGAAGATGAGACACAAGGTGATTAGAATAATGATTAAAAGTTAGATCCTAGCCTATTTATGAAAATTTGTATCTACTCATGTCTACTGACCACCCCTTCCATGGATGATTTAACTTTGAAGAAGTCTTTCCACTCTTGGCTTCTGTTTGTCCTGACATCAGGTAAAAGAGTCACTCATGCCAACTGGAACACCCTGGTTGAGGTCAGTAAATGCACAGTGCCTGTTCTCATGCAGCACGTAGAGCCATGTGCCCACGCTCAGGGTCTGTGCTCCGAAAGAGGACCCATAGTGTACACTTTTCCCTTCTCATAGAGAGAGGAAGAGAGTGTATTTGAATGAGAAGAATAAACATTTTCTGTGTGGGTGTCAGCTGGAATGCCAGCTTCCCAGCATCTGGGAACATTGGCAGATCCTCCCACAGGGAGAGAAGCAACTAACTGTCCTAGTTCATTGCCAGGCAACCCAGAGGAAGTCCCTAGGGTTCTTGGTTAGCTTTGCTTGTGTCCTCACAGTGCCTTTGCTCACAATATTCCTGGTCACTCTGTACTCATAGTCACATTTCCAGCGTCACCAACCCCAGTCACTCTCCCCTTCTGGATGTGAAATGGTCATGAAAGGCCTGTACTGAGAAAATGATATTTGAGTTAAATACTGAGGGAAATGAGGGATTGAGGCAAGTGAGCTTCCTCAAGAAGAGTATTCTAGGCTTCTTCATAAAATTTGGAAAGCAATCATGAAAACATAGAAAGTAGGGAATGATACAGAAATATTGTGTGTTGGGTGAGGATCACAGGAGAGGGTATGGAACTTCAATCAGCCCAGAAGCATCGGGAATCATTTGGGAGGTAAGAAAGGACCTTTCTGGATAGAAGAACAACACTATAGTATGTGTGTATGTGTGTGTGTGTGTGTGTGTGTGTGTGTGTGTGTGAAAGACAGAGAGAGAGAGAGAGAGAGAGAGAGAGAGAGAGAGAGAGAGAGAGAGAGAGAGGAGGGGGTGTGGAGGAGAGAGAAGTACTTATGTTGGGAAAGAGCAGAGGATGTTAAAGGTATTTGTGTGCTTTGCAATGTTTAACAACTAGCTCTCCAATAACAAACAAAGTCTTAATTTGTAGCATTTTCTAGTTTCCATGGTATAAATACTGCCTTTATAGCCAATTTGGCTACCAATGTTAGCCTGAACAGAGTACAAAGAACAGAAAGAAAGGAGGAAAGAATTCAAAATGACACATACATTTTATCAATTGAAGGTTTGAAAAATGACAAAGCAAGGGCTGATATACAACTCAGTGTGTGAATGTGGACAACCCAGTGATGTGTTTTTGTAACCACATACAACATCAGAGCCCCAGTCTACCCACCATCTGAAAGGATATTGCTAAGGAAATGGGGGTACCCTTCTGTGTGCTGCCTTTCATTTATTCTTTCCTCCCACAGGGCAAAGGTACATAAGGCTCTTCTCCTGAGAAGCCATCCTCATTTTTCTTTTTTCTCTCAGGGACTCCATGGGAACAAATCTTCATATCCCCATTAATGACAAGGATCCAAGTTTAACCAGAATCAGAATGATCTGAGTATGGGGCATCCGTATCTTGGGAGCCTCTTCTCCTCCAGAGGGATTTACCCGAGTTTGAAATGGTCACCCATCCTATGGTGGCCACTGCTGAGATGATCTGGTGGAAGGTGTGTGAGTGCACCCCACCAAAATTTCAAGGCAGCTGTCTACCAGTCCAGCTCCTATAGAAGTCATAGGGGTGAATGTGGCAAGAAGTAGTTAGTGCTCTGACTTAATAACTTCAATTAGTTCGATAGCTGCAGGTGGAAGGCATCAAATCCCTTATGGGCAGTCTCGATTATCTTCTTTCTGCTTTTGCTTTTTCATATATGGAGATGATAATTTTTATGTAATCTCACCTATGTTTATATTAGGTTTTATTGAAAACAAAAAACTAAGTTCTTTTTTATGTGCCATCTCATTTAATGGTTTTCCACAACCCCAGCAGGTGCTAATATCATCATTCTACAAATGGAAATCCTGATCTTCAGAGATGGCAGGCAGCTAACCCCCAATCAGACACTTGGCTAATGATAGGGCTTGAGCACAATCCCAACGTTTTTAGTGCCAGATTCCTCTTTCTTTTAACACCAGACTGCATGCTCATGCATAAGTGAAAGTGTCTATGCATGTGTGTGTATTCACACATAAATATAGTTTTTATAGATTTATTGTAGAGATATTTCTTAAGAATAAATTGGGTGTCCTTCTTCTAATTCAGGCTGTGAGATCGAGGGACTGTCTCCCTAGATCTTGGATCAGTGCTAAAATTTAAATCTCCACTCAGAGTTGGTCTCATAAAATCATTAGCTATTTCTTGAGGGACTAATTCCTGTATGCCAGGTATCACACTGGAAGCTAATAACAGACAGCAGTGTGCCAAACTAGCCCCCAGTCCCCAATATATATATACTATGCTAGAGTAGCAGAGACATATCCCACCCACCCATCCTGTGCTGGGGATCTAACCCAGGGTTTTTGGGAATGTTAGGTAAATACTTTACTATTGAGCTATATCCTTAGCCTCACAGACACATTCTTTTTTTTTTTTTCCGTTTATTCACATGTGCATACAATGTTTGGGTCATTTCTCACCCCTCCTCCCCAGCCTCTTCCTTCCCCCCTCTCTCCCTCCCTCCCCGCCCCCCGCCCCCTCACTTCCAGGAACAAACCATTCTGCCTTTATCTCTAATTTTGTTGAGGAGAGACTATAAACAATAATAAGGACAAAGCATTTTTGCTAGTTGAGATAAGGATAGCTATACAGGGAGATTCCTAGCATTGCTTCCATGTACATATGTGTTACATTCTAAGTTGATTCTTCTCAAATTGACCTTTTCTCTAGTCCCTGATACCCTTCTCCTATTGGCCTCTGTCGCTTTAAAGTTTCTGCATTAGTTCCTTTGCATTGAGGACATCAAATGCTATCATGTTTTTTGGGTTTCTTACCTAACTCATACCTCCCTTGTGTGCTCTCGCCTTATCATGTGACCGAAGTCCAATCACCTTGCTATGTTTGCCCTTGATCTAAAGTCCGCATATGAGGGAGAACATACAATTATTGGTTAACCTGGCTAACCTCAACTCAGGATGATGTACAGACACATTCTTAAAACCTGACATTGGCTGTTGGTGAAAGAGCAGATGGCAATAGGAGGCCCACAGGTTATTAGGTGGTGTGTTTTCAAATTCCTATGCAAGGAGAGCAAGAAATGGTAATTTAACAAGGGAGGGATCCCACGCAGATAATGAGATATTGCTTTCCTCATCATCAACACCTTCCATTTTCTCATGCCAGGCTGAAATTTGGGGAATCTGCTCCTACCATAGCGTGTTATTTACATTTAGCTCTCACTAAAGAAATGGCATTGAAAATTAAATAATTTTACTTGTGCTGTTCTTTAAAGCTCCAAATAATTCACATACATGATCATTTTCATATTCATAGTCACTTAGCTATTGCCTCTGTTTTAGAGATGAAGAAATCAAGGTTCATAATGACTAACCTGGTGATGGACACATAGGTTTTTTGGTTTTTTTCCAGCACTGAACCACGATTTTCTGGATTTCAGTCTCCCAAATAGCTAGGATGATAGGCATGAGCCACAGACTCCCAACCTGGCCACATATTTCTTAAGGGGAAAGAATCTTAAGTCCAATCCAAGAACGACTTGAATTTCCATTCACTTTCTACTATCCCAGCAGAATATGAGAGCAATTTTAATTTTATTGTAACTTGGGGTTAACCATTTAAGAATTGTTTTAATAACAAGATGGAAACAACCTAAGTACCCACTAATAGGGTTTGAATGTGGTTTAAATGTGTTTATCCCTATGTTAGAAACCTAATGCCCCAAATTATATGTTGATGGTAATTGGGGAGGGAGGAGGTAAATCTATCCTCAGTGTGGTGGGCATCACCCAATCAGCTGGAGGCCTGAAGGGAACAAAAACAGGGGAAGGGCAAAGTGGTCTTTCTCCTGAAGCTAAAATACACTCTTCCATACTTGCTGGACTCTCTGCCCTATGGACTCCAGGATTTAAAACAGTAACCAACCTCCTAGTTCTCAGGCTTTGGGCTTTGAACAGAAAGTTATGACATCAGCTTCCCTGGTTCTGAGACCTTTGGAGTTAGGCTCAGCCCTGTTACTTGCATCCTAGTGTCTTTAACCCAATCAGCAAATAGCCTGCCATGGGACTATTCAGCCTTCATTGTGGAGTAAGCCAATGCCCCTAAAATTCTCATCTATCTATCTATCTATCCATCTATCTATCCTGTCTCTTTGGAGAGCCTTGACTAATACAGGATGGGTTACATAAATTAAGATGCATCCTAATAGTGTAATATCATGCAACTGGGTATGGGAAGCTCCATGTGTTCTTTTAGGGGATGTTCTCTAAGATATATAGTTATTAAAAGAGAAAATACAGAACTGTATATACAGTTTGCTTCCTTGCAAAAATGAAAAGAGGTGACATAAAATATATTCATTCATTCTTGACTGCCATCAGCATAAATTGATATAGCATAAATTAATATACTTTTTATGCATGAAAAAGTGTGATCAACTAGGAGATGTGGAAGGGTAGATTATTAATATGTAATCATTTGGACCTTGTGAATGTATCACCTATTTAAACAGTTAGACACATTTCATATGCAAGAGAGCTCCTTTCCATAATATTTTCTCCTCCAACCCTTCTTCCTTTCCAATTCACATACATAAACACAAAGAAATAAACCTAGAGTAAGTTTTTAATAGGAAAAACTTTGTAAATACAGAATCAGTCATGATACAGGCACATTGATACCATGCATCCATTTATTTCTGAGAATTGGTGTATGTAGCAGGCTGTTAGAATCCTGGCATCTCTCAGTAATAAGAAGCTTTTGAAACCTAAGGAAAAGAAGATATCAAAGTAAATATATTTGGGAATCTCATTCTCAGTTTTCTTTACATCTACAGAAAAACTTACTAACCTTTTTTCATTCTAATGAGTTAGCTTTTGTAGGTATCAGCCCTTCTCACTTCCTCATGTATGAACTCTCCACTGCTAAAGTACCCAGCTTCCCAAGGAAAGATGTTTTCATTTTGCTTCTTAGATACGGTTTCCAGGTTTAGCAATTATAAAGAGAATGTCTGGTTAAAATTGAGTTTCAGATAAATAACAATTTTTTTTGTTGTTTTTTGAGTACAGTGTTTCATGCAATACTGGGGCATACTTATAATTAAATAATTAATTGTTGCTTATCTGAAATTCAGATTCAAACTGGTGTACTGTATTTTATCTGTCGAACTTATCCTAAGATGCAACCTGGAGGAATTAGGTTAAGTGCACTTACCTCATTAGCCCAGAGTGACAAACAGTGGCTGGCTTAATGTTAGCCAGTAGAATTTCAGTGATGATAGAAATGTGTCTGTATTCATTGTATCTAATGCAATAGTCATTAGCAACTTGAAATGTGGGTAGTGAGACTGTGAAACTGAACTTTTAATTATTGAATTTAAATTTAAAATGTTACAGGTGGCTAATGGCTACTGTATTGAACAACATAGCCTTAGAACAAATTTTGCTACTAAATTGAACACTAAGTAGTGACTGAAATGGTTCACCACACAGGAATATTTCATAGGTCCCTATAGATTAGCTAGGGAATTCTCCATTCTGCTCATATATGTTTTGTTGTCAACATACTCATTCTTGTTATTTGTGCCAAGTATGTACTGAAGATTTATTGTATGGGAAGGATATGAAATGCCAGAGTACAGAGATGACTAAGATGTCAGGTTTCAACAAACTCTGTAGATGAGAGCATTAACAGGATAATCCCAACATTAGAATGTAAAAAGCTATGCTCACTTATTGTACATAGAGTAGACATATTAATTGGATGAAACAGCATTTATTTTGCCATACATACCATGTGACCCTTTTTCTCCCATGATTTTCAGCAAACATTTATTAGCCATCAAACCAGAACATATTAGAAGAGGATTTTTTTATGCATGATTCAGTCATAGAGAACAGGCCCTTAAAAGAATTTACACTGAGGGTTGTCACAAGACACTAAAGATGAAGAGGTTCAGTGCAGAAACTGGGGGTGTTGGGGGGAGGAGTAGAGTGTGGAAAACCCAATTGAGAAGAAAAAAAGGAAGAAAAAGAAATAGCAAATGCAGTGCACTTCCTATTTCACTGTGATTCTGGTAGGTAGATAGGGTGAGCAGTCATTGTTATACAATAATTCAGATAACCATGTACTGGACAGTGAAAGGGCTTTCTGGGATAGGACTTCTATTGTGTGATTCCTTCACCAGATATTTGAGCACCCACTAAGTGTCAGACCTTTGGTAGATGCTGGCACATAACAGTGAATAAACAGACCAGGTCCTTAATGGAACAGAGTCTAATGGGAAGAAGTGAACAAAGGACCTGATGAATAAAATCTCATTCTATTTTAGAGAATCTAAATGGAATTTTTTTTCAAGACAGAGTCTTGCTAAATTGCCTGTAGGGGTTGCTTACTTTTCTTCTTTCTTTTTATGCTTTAAGTTACAAAATCAATAGAATCTCATTTTAATACTTCACATACAGATGTTTATATAGGTTAATAATCTCTCCTTATCCTATCTAATCTCCCCTCCTTGAGATAAGTAATGTTATGGGTTTTCTTCCCTACCTTTTTCTGTCTTCATTTATTCTCATCAGTTGTATATGTGGTTTTGTCTTGCTGTCTTATTGCTTTGAGTAGCTATATAAAATTCTACATTGTAGATGTGTGACACATTTTATGTCAGTGGTATTCTTATTTAGGTTATTTAGACAATTTACAGTTATAATTTGATATTTTCTCATTATAGTGTTAAAAAAAACATTGGGGGGCATTCATTTCTAATTAACAAATACTTCCCTTTCTGAAGTATCTATTAAGAGTTTAGTAGAAATTGCCAGGACAAGTTCTCAAAGATTATATGACGGTGGCAATTCTTCCTTATCCTTTGCAGTCCTGACTTTCTATCTGTAGGTGAGAAATGGTACACTTTTGTTCCCCTGTTATGCATAGCTTAATTACTAGGAAGGGTAAGAGGGTTATTTTTCCATATGTATTGACCATTTGACTTTAATAATTAAATAGGGTGTTTTATAACCTACTTAATCTATTAAATATTATGTTTCTGCCCTCCCACCAACATTTTGCAGTCCTCAGTCAACTGGGATCATTAATCTTGCATATAATGTTTGCAAATCTTTTATCTGAATGTATTGCCCATTTTCTACTGCTGTCTTTATATATATTGTGTCTTAAATCTCTCTTATGGCTTATGTAATTGTATCCTGTCTTATTTGTTTTTTTGTATTTCCTATTAGCTTAATAACATCCTTGTCCCAAAACACAGACACACACACACACACACACACACACACACACACACACTCACAAATACACATATTAAGATATACAAAGGGTCTTTTAAGATGCCATCTGCTTATTTATATTCGATAATTTTAGATACTTTCCAGGTAGGTCTGTTTTGTTAGGTCTGTCTGAGAAAGAGCTGGAGACCTGAAGATTGAAAATGAGCTCATCAGAAAAAAAAGTCAGAGGATGGGCATTTCAAAGAATGACATCAATAATGTAAAATATCTTAACCAAGGTTAGCTGCTTGGTGGGAAAAGAGACCAGTATGGTTAGAATAGAGCAAAGGAATGAGGTGCCCAGAGGGTAGAATTGGTCCTTATTGGCCCTCCAAGTCAGAGTAGGAAGTATTGATGATCAATTTATACATGTATTGGATTTATGGAGATGAAGGAAAGGTAGCAAGTCTCACTCCTAGAATGTTGACTTGAGCAAATGGATTAATAGTGTTATTTACTGAGTTGAGTGGACTGAAATGGACACCAGGCTTAGGGAACCCAATGTTAACCCTTGGTGTCTTGGAAGTGTTCAGATTTCAGGGCCTGGAAGAGTTCCATGTATAAATTTGGAGATGTACTTTGCATTTCAAGAAAGGGATCAGGACTAGAAATGTAAAATTGGAGGTTTATTACATAAGATATTTTTTGAAACTACAATATTGATGAAACCATCAAGGAGATAGAGTAAAATTAGGGACCTGAACTAAGTTCTAAGTTTCTAAAATTTACAGCACATGCCAGTCTGATCTTTTTCAGATGAATATTTAATGCAAGGACAATTTTCTGTGGCATGAAGTGAAAGTTCCATACTTTTAGCTCTATCAATAAATATAAGAAGGAATGGATATGCTCTACAAAAAAGAAAGAAAGAAAGAAAGAAAGAAAGAAAGAAAGAATGCATATGCTCATCTACTTAGTGCCCAAGAGATAACCTATAAGTCAGGAAGAGGGCCTCACTGGAAACTCACTGTGCTGGCATCTTGATCTCAAACTATTCCTCAGGAATCATGAGAAAATAAACTTCTGTTGTTGATACATCCCAGTCTGTAATATTTTGTTATTGCAGCCCAAGAAGACTGACAGATTTGAGTACCAAGACTTTGGATGCTGCTACAACAAATACATAAAATTGTAAAAGTGTAAAAAGTGGCTTTAGAACTAGGTAATAGATAAAGACCTAAAGAATTTTGAGGTTCATTCTAGAAAAGTCCATTTGCTGTGAGGGCCTGTTGGTAGAAATATAGATGTTTAAGATGGTTCTGGTGAAGGGTCAGAAAGAAAAGTGAAGAGCTACAGAGAATGCTTATATTTCCTTAGAGCATACATAAATAGTCATGACCAAAATGTTGGTTCAAATTTGGACATTAAAGGCCTTTCTGAAGTTCTCAGATGGAGATGAGGGATAGGTTACTGGAACTGGAAAAAATATGATACTTGCTATAAAGTGGTGCAAAACTTGACTGAACTTTGTTCTAGTGTTTGGTAGAAGGTAGAATTTATAAGCAATAAAACTGGATATTTAGTAGAGAAAATTTCCCAACAAAGTTTGGAAGGTACAGTTTGGGTCCTCCTTAGTATTTTACTCCTTTTAGTAAAACATTAGAGAAAGGAGATGAATTGAAGAAAGAATCATTACACAAAACAGAATCAAAATGGAGAGATTTGGGAAGTAGTCTGTTTATCTATGTTGTGGAACTTGAGAGAGTGTTCTTTTTTTTTTTTTTGGTGGGCGATTGGGATTTGAACTCAGGGCTTTGTGCTTGCAAAGTAGGCAATCTTCAGTTTAAGCCTTACCTCCGGTTCATTTTACTGGTGTTATTTTGGAAATGGGGTCTACTGAACTTTTTGCCTGGGTTGGCTCATGATCCTCCTGATCTCAGCCTCCCAAGTAGCTTGATTACAGACATCAGCCACTGGTGCCCAGTTTGAGAAAGCTTTTCTTAAAGAGGTTTGGTTGAGTAGCCACTTGATAAAAATATCATGGGTACAACTCATGAACTTAAATAGCCATCTCAGCAGAAGGCCAAAAAGAGAGATGTGATTACACCAGCAGAGACACTGCCAGTTTAACTAAAAATAGAAAATGGAAAGGAATGAGCAAGGTTGTCAGGCTTTTTGGATTCTACAGAACAAGACCATAAAACTATCCAGCTGTGTCACCAGCAGGCCTGAAAAGCATCAAGTCATAGAAGCTTCTTCTCAAGATTTAAGACCCAATGGACATTTCCTTTTCAAGTTGTGAACTTGTTTAGGAACTACCACCTCTTCCTTCTTTCCTATTTTTGCCTTTTTGGATGGAAATGCCTGTCCTATACCTGCTCCATTGGATTTTAGAAGCACATAACTTGTCTGGTTTCACAAGTTCATACCTGGAAAGGAATTCTGACTCAGAATGAATTGTTCTTTGAGTATACTCCAGTCCAGATTTAGATGACATAAATGACACTTTGATGACACTTTGGATTTTAGAATTAATGCTGTAATGAGTTAAGACTTTGGGGGCTATTGAGATGCAATGAATGTATGTTTTATAAGAGAAGAACATTCTTTTCTTTTTTTTCAGGCTGGGGAGAAATGTTGTGGATTGAATTGTCGCTCAAATTTATATGTTGATGTCCTAAACTCCAATTTGACTGTTACGTGGAATCAGGGCCTTTTGGGGGCAATTAAGGTTGGAGAAGGTCCCTAAGATGGGGCTGTAATCACATAGGGTTGTCCCCTTATAAGAAGTGAAAGAGACATCAGAACTCTATCCACTCACACATTGAAGAAAGGCAAGAGAACACATTGTGAAATGGTAATTATCAATAAGACAGGAAGACAGCATTATCAGAAGTCAACCATGTCATCACCTAGATTTTATACTTCCAGTCTCTAGAACAATGAGAAAATAAATTTCTGGTGTTACCAGCAGTCTGAGTTGAATACACAGTGAAGGAAGTTGTAAAGGTTTAAGCACCAACCAACAGCCAAGCAAACAGCACATATGCTTCCTTCAGAAAAAGAATCAACTGAAAGACTGGGTGCCTAGTGTCTCATGTCTGTAATCCTAGCTACTTGAGAGGTTGAGATTAAGATTTTGGTTCCAGGCCAAAATTTGTGAGACTCCATTTTAATGGAAAAAAGCTGGGTGTAGTGACATTTGTTTGTCATCCCAGTAACAGCAAAAAGCCTAAAATAGGAGGACCATCGTCCAGGCCAATCTTGGCCTATCTGTAAAATAACCAGGAAAATAGGGCTGGAGACATGGCTTAAGCAACAGAGTGCCTGCCTTGCAAGCATATAAGCCCTGAGTTCAAACCCCAGTAACATCAAAAAGAAGAATTAACTAAAAGCAATGTACATAAGTTCTGAGAGGTGGATTATGTCATTACAATATATTGGAATACAATGAAGTTCTGATGTTTTTCCAGTATGGCTTCTTTTTGAAGATGAAATGGCTATACTTTTTCTTGCTTTAAAAAATAGATTTATATTTATTATTAATAGGTTTTAGGGATAAATATAGGTGATGACTATGCTTTAGTAGGTTTCATCATGATTATTAATCTTACTTTTTTTGTTACAATATTAAGGTACTGGGATAAAATACAGGTAGGAGAATCTAGTGACTGAATATGAGCCCTTCTTCTTAGTTTCAGTGTGTATGGAAAATACTCAATTAAATTTCTAATTTACTTTAGTAGCCTTCTAATATACATGCATTATATGAAACAGGAATATACAAATTTATAATTACAATTTAGGATTAACAGATGATTAGCCTGTAAATGGTAACCTAAACCTAACTTTAAAGTGCATATGATTTTTTATAACTGGTTATAAAACATACTTGTGAAAATAGTTCAAATGATATAGAAGAAAAGGAGTGGCAATGACAGATAGAGTAACAGATATTGCTAGACAGATCATTTTGAAATTTAAAAAGAAATGACAACTGGTAGTACTGTGTTAAACTGACATGATTTGTTCAGGATACCTTATATGTCCAAATACAGATTCTTCCTTAGCCTCACATCTCAGTAAAACCATAAGATTAACTTTGTCTCTGGTGCCTGCATATCCTCAGTAATTGGGAGATCTGGGTGTAGCATTCTCATCAATTTGCCACAATTTAAAAACTTCCAGGACCCTTGAGGAAAGCTAGATGGAGACCTACTCAAGCACTGGAAACCAATTGAAGCTACTGAGATTTTACTGTGCACTAGAGAATTTTCCCCAGGAGTAACAAGGGCTTTTAGATATAAATAGTGATGCTGCAAAGTAGAAGGTAAAGAAGTACATTGGAGATGGGGAGCTAGGACAAAGCTGTGACTGCCATCCTTTACTTGGGCACATGGTCTTACCTACACCTCTTAGGTAAAAGTTGGTCAACTGGCACCTTCGCTGTTTCTCTGAAACTTCTCAGAAAAACTCTCAACACAAACTGGATTAATAGGAGAAATTTGTATTGGAAAGAGAAGAGCAGCATTAGTCTATTATGTACTTGATGTCTTCCCTAGTAATAAACAATCTTTTGAACAAAATGCATCCTGGCTGCATAGCCACTGATTCATTCAGGTCAACATTTACTGAATGCCTATTTATTAAGTGTCTGTTTTATTCCAGGGTCTCTGCTGACTATGACGATTGTAACAAGATAGGTCCTTGACATTATGAAGATCTTGCTGGAGATCAAGGTTAAGAATGTTCGCAATGCATCATTTATTACTAAATAATCAAATACAAAGCTTTGTTATTGGAACCCAGAGGAGAAAATTCAAATCTCAAGTCTTCTGTATCTCTTTTCTTTATTTGCCACTCTGAAAAAAAAATTGTATAACCTTAGAAAATCATCTCCCTATCAAAGTCCCTTTGTTTCACTTGTCATACTCTAAATCAAAAAGGTACTTTTTCTCTCCCTGTGTTTACCATGCTAACACATTGCAATTATTTATATAATATATATAATATATAATTATATTATATAATAAATTATTTATATAATATATATTTAAGTTCTCATAGCGTTTAGGAGACCATCACTAACGTTCTGGTATGTGAACAAAATTCATCCAGTGTGTCTTGATTTTTAGTTTCCATTTTTCTGGCAATAATTTCTTAGGGAAGGATGGTTGTGAAATAACCAAGCATTAGAAGTACTGGCTTCTTGACCTTGGGACTTAAGACAACTTGTTTAAATTCTGTTCTTTGGTTTCCTCAACATGAAATCTACAAGAGAAATAGAGTTTATCTCTTACATTGTTGGATTAAATGAATATAATGGAAACCAATAGAATGTTCCAGGCACACAGTAAATGTCTAACTAGCCATCTCTCTTGACCAGCCAGTGTTCTAATTTCGACACCCACACTGCTGAGCCTGTTCTTTTCATAGCAAGATGAGCAAAGATACAAGAGATGGAGGCAGAAAAAAAGCATGTAGGCCAAGGTCACACCTAGGAAGTGTGAGAGCTGAGTTCAAAGCCAATTTGGCAAGTAAATGAAAAGGACCTCAAATAAAATAATTCTGACTTAAGGATCCAAAGAAGGGAATCGGAAGAGTTCTTACACACAGGAAATACTGAGCTGAGAATTGCAGTGCTCACAGCAGACACAGCCAGGAATTCACTGTGAAAGCCAGACCTCACGAAAGTCTGATGATTGTAACAGCTCAGAAAATTCTAATATGTGCCCATCAAGGTGACCATTTGTTTCTGCCACCTTGCCTTCACAAATCTTCTGGACCTGGAACGTCAAGGGTGGCTGGATTGAGCTGAGAGTTGGCTGCTTCTAGACCACTGTCATCAAAGCCTTACTATCTGCAAAGGAGAAGGCATGTATGTCTGCAGGAACTAACTTGTGCTGTATTAAGAAACAAAGCAAAGCAAAGCAAAGCAAAATTTCTCCCACCGCTCACTGATTTGGATGCTAGGAATGAAATGATTTTGCTGAAAATACTTCCATAGAACCAAAAGAGTCTGATTATATTGCTGCTCTGCATGACCAGTTTGACCAGCGAAAGCATGGGTAAGCAACAGTCCCCTGGATTTCCCTTCCCTCATATTGCCATTCAAAGCTCAACCCATGCCATTCTAAAAAATTAATTTGGTGAGACCAGGAACCCAGGAAAAGAGCCCAGGAGGATTTGAACTGTCCGGGATTGCCACCTCTTGTATTTGGAACTGTTACCAGGTTCCTAGAAACAAAGGCTTTGGGAGGCCTATGGCCCCAGGCCAACTGCTTTTTGAGTTGGGAAACTAGGTATTCTAGATTAAGATTCCAAATATTGGCTGGTGCTGGTGGCTCACGTCTGTAATCCTAGCTCCCCAGGAGGCAAAGATCGCAGTTATGAGACAGCCAGGGCAAACAGCTCGGGGACTATCTCAAAAACATCCAACATAAAAAGGGCTGTTGGAGTGACTTAAGTGGTAGAGCTGGACCTGCCTAGCCAGTGATCCAAAAAATAAAAAATAAAACAAAGAGTGAGAATTAAACGCAATTTCTTGAATGCCAGGCACTTTTTAAGGTTAGGAACATTAAAATTGGAAGCGCCTACATCCAATTTACAGGATAGGACTGAGGTTCCCTCCCACTCAGGAAATTTGGCTTCAAGAACCTGAATGTAAGGCGACCATTCCAAACAAAAAAACAAAAAAAGCGCGGCGGGTGTGTGGGGTTAGATCTTAGCGGTTCTCAGGGCACTCTATTCTCTCCATAAGTTCTGGCTGAGCGTTACTGGCCATGGGCAAACACTGACCATACAAAATGTATTGTTGGGCTATCACTTAGTACGTGCAAAAACAATTACCTGATTTGTTGGTTTTCCCCCCCCCCACAGGTAGACCACTTCCTAAACCCAACCTTTTTCTGACAAGAACTAAGAGTATAACGAAATTTTTTACTCGAACACTTGGGGCAAAACTAGCTTACCTTATTATTTAGCAAGTGACTTTAGCTCTTTCTTTGGCACATTGGGGGGCTCTGAAAAGAGCCTTTGGGTTTGAAAGCGTTTCCGGAAACTCAGATGCCAGTCAGATCACTTGCCCTTGGTCTTGTGGTGACTCTCGGTCTTCTTGGGCAGCAGCACCGCCTGGATGTTGGGGAGGACGCCGCCCTGCGCGATGGTCACTCGGCCCAGCAGCTTGTTCAGTTCCTCGTCATTGCGGATGGCCAGCTGCAGGTGGCGCGGGATGATGCGGGTCTTCTTGTTGTCCCTGGCCGCGTTGCCAGCCAGCTCCAGGATCTCGGCCGTCAGGTACTCCAGCACCGCCGCCAGGTACACCGGAGCGCCCGCTCCCACCCTCTCCGCGTAGTTGCCTTTGCGGAGCAGGCGGTGGACACGGCCCACGGGGAACTGCAGGCCCGCGCGAGAGGAGCGAGACTTTGCTTTGGCGCGAGCTTTGCCTCCCTGCTTGCCACGTCCAGACATTTCAAGCGGACACACCCAAGCAGCTACACCACAAATACAGAGATCACAGACAAACAAAGTCATGAAGTGTGTACAACATGGCTGCTTTTATAGACATTTCCTGGGTAGTAAATCCGACTTTCCAATTGGCTAGGGCAAACATCTGCCATCTAACCAATAGAAAATCTGTATTTCCATTCCTTATTTGCATAGTTCCGCCCATTGATGACAAGCTGTTATTTTTCTTCCAATTAACTAAGACTCGCTCTGCATCCTTCATTAGCATAAATGCCCTATAAATACCAGAAATTTGCTTCCCTGCTACATTGTGGTTCCGGTTTTTTTTAGAGCTCTAAAAATGCCTGAGCCAGCGAAGTCCGCTCCAGCGCCCAAGAAAGGCTCCAAGAAGGCGGTGACCAAGGCGCAGAAGAAGGACGGCAAGAAGCGCAAGCGCAGCCGCAAGGAGAGCTACTCCGTGTACGTGTACAAGGTGCTGAAGCAGGTCCACCCGGACACCGGCATCTCGTCCAAGGCCATGGGCATCATGAACTCGTTCGTCAACGACATCTTCGAGCGCATCGCGGGGGAGGCGTCTCGCCTGGCGCATTACAACAAGCGCTCGACCATCACGTCCCGGGAGATCCAGACGGCCGTGCGCCTGCTGCTGCCCGGGGAGCTGGCCAAGCACGCCGTGTCCGAGGGGACCAAGGCCGTCACCAAGTACACCAGCTCTAAATAAGCCTGCCAAGTAAGCCTTCTACACTGAATCCCAAAGGCTCTTTTAAGAGCCACCCACGTGACCACAAGGAGAGCTGTGTTTTAACAGCAAATTTGGCAGGGCGGTTAGTTAGTAAAGGTTGCAAGGAGCGAGGCTCAAGTGCAAGAGCGCTTACTTGGTTTTTGCATCGCCCCGATTGTTAATCGTTAGGTAATTTTTAACGTCTCAAGTCAGGTGTAAATGCTGTCTCAAGTTACCGTTTCCTATTTCGTCCCTTAGTAGTTTCATTTAAATGCCTGCTCGGTGTCTGGCACTTTACTTTTGTGCTGTCTGAGCGTTGTGGGGCTTGTAAAACTCATGAAGTGCTGGGTTAAGTTAAACTATCAAAGGTACCTAAATTGGAAACAAGTATTAGAACAAAGATGAGAGTCTAGCGAGAAGCCATTAAGCTTGGCAGTATCTTTTATCCACTTGGAGGAAAGAAATTCCTGGGCTCGGTTTTCCACCTTCCCTTAAGCATTTGGATCTTTTGTATGCAAAATTTTTTGGTTTTTTAGATGAAAAAACAGCACTTTAACACATCTGTTTAGTCCACAACACACTTTCAAGTGAAGTTTGCTTTCTTCATAAGATTTTGGAGAGTGCAAGAAAAACTTGTTAAAAGGCAATAGATTCTTGCAATTCTCACAATTTTTTAAGAAACAAGGTTTAGGTCTTCAGTCTAATGTTTTCTATGACGCTTGGAATAGTATAATAAATCAAGGTTCACTTTTGTTTGTCAGACACCTCCATGTGAACTTAGTTTTGCATTTACTGGCTGCCTGACTTGGAAGTGTTACCTGAGATTCTAATGAGAAATGACATACTGAAGTAATTTAAGGTGAAAGTGCAAATGCTGGACACTAGCGAATGTTTGTCAACTTGCTCTACAGGCAGTTTCCAGAGTCCTGGACAGCTGGGTTTTTATGCCCCAAAGTGGTTTGCTGAAGGAAGAGACTAATGATGCCCAATTCAGTCCAAACTTTCCCCTGCTAAGTAATCAGCTTAAAACTATAAAGTTCAAACAGGAGTCTCTCCTGCTTTCTTTCTCGTAAATTTTGGTTTTGCCTATGCGTGTTGAAGTAGTTCTATTGCTTATTTTCCCCCCAAACAAGTAAAGAGACTAACCAGTTACTCCTAGACTTTTAACTATGGAGATTCCACCAAGATATTGTTTGTCCTATATTGTGGCCTGAAAAACTGTTCGGCCTTGGCTTTTGCATGATAAAACTTTATTCTTGCCCAAGTTTGTTTCTTCTTGTTTTTCTCAATTTGATAAGTTGGTGGTAAGGACAGAGAATATGGTTCGCTTACTAATTCTTTAATGCTGTTTGGTGCTGGAGAATTTTGGTATTCTCTGCATTTGAGGACCACAGAATTAGCATGTTGGGGTTTGTTTTTGTTTTCTTGGTCTTTGCTTGGATCTACTGTGTTTCCTGTTTGTGTTTGCCTCTTTTCTCCTTTGAAAATTGTGTGTGTGTTGTGTGTGTTTACATATTGAGTCAGTGACACTCCGAATATAAAATGGCTGCCTATAGTTCCTTGATGTTAATAGTGTTAAATGTTACAAAGGACTTAGGACAAAAAGCCAGGGATACACAATCTTTGTCTTAAAGTTTGTGATTCAGGATTTCCAAATTATCATCCCTTCAAGTTTTCTTTTTATATAAGGTTAAAGAAGAGAGAGGAAACATCATTAATTGGACTTCTGAGTCAGTAAAACGGAGTGTGCTTCAAGATTTAATACTTTTTAATATTTTCCTTGATGAGTTTATTATAACCTAGAATTTCTTACCAAATTTAGAAGATAAGAAAATTACTCATATTCTTAATAATAGTGGTCTCTAAAGGACCTCTGATTTTAATTACATGCCTTTGTTTAAAATACTTAATTGACACCTGTGACTCTTTTTAATCTACTTTAATGTGTTGCATTTGTACACTTATCCCCTCTAACTTGCAAAACCACTGAGAATATTTTCTATTTTATGAATACAAAAAATTTTGAACAAATTGTGTACCTTAGCAGTAAGTTAATAAATTATAATGTGAACTTAAATTTTAATTGGCATATATTTTCTAAAAAAACACATCAGTTTTAATTTAAAAACTCCAATTTTTCTAAAAATTCCAAATGCTTGTATTTTAAAGGTGCTGCCTTTTATTTATTTATTTTTGCAGTACAGTTGTTCGAACTCAGGGCCTTCACTTGGAGCCACTCCACCAGCACTTTTTTGTGATGGGTTTTTTCAAGATGAGGGTCTCATAACTTTTAAAGTTATAACTGAAAGAAAAAAAGCTTAACTAAGTTTAATTAGTGGTTAGTTAACAAATCGTAAGAAGAAAACAAAAATATTGTTATTAAAACAACTAAAATATCCTTTAGCTTTAAAAATAACTAAAATATCTTTTTATTGCTGGAAAACACTTATTTCTAATCAAGATTTCTTTTTGGACAAACTGACTTAATTTTTCTTTAAAACGGTTTGTGTTATGATGTTAAAATGGTAACTTAATAGTTTAGTTTACAGAAGTCTAAAGTTTACTTTATAAGAAAATAATTTGAATTTATTAAATTCCACTGTATTGGTTAGATGAGCAAACATCACTTGATTTATAATTTAAAATTATTACATATGCATTGAACTAAATTAAATCATAATGTCATTTTAAAAATGGAATAAAGTTTTATAACATTAAAAAGTGTAAGAACTCAGTATGTCAGCTTAAAAACTGAATTCACTGTTTATGATAATTTTAAGTACTTTGATGAGTATTAAATTGAATCAATTGATGCCTAATCTTTGGATGCCTGTATAATTTCTGACTTGGAGATCACAAAATACAAATCACTAAAATGTTTGCTCTGTGCAAGTCTCCTACTTTTATGCAGTTTATTATGACCATTGACTAACAAGTTAGAAAACGTGAGGTTGACTTAGGAGAATCTCTTGCCTTGTCACTTTAGATTTGTAAAAGGGATAGGTACAGAATATGCATGTGTGGGCCTAGAAGACCAGGCAGGTTTTGGATGGCTGCCTGTTCTCCTTGTACCTCCAAGGAAACAGAATTGCCTGCTCTGTTTAAGGGCTGTTGTTAATACACACAGGTTCTCTAGCAACAGGGGACAACAAATACACACAAGATAATGGCTATGTATACTCTACTTTTTAAGGAAGTTGATGCTGTTTTGTGATGTAGTAACTTCAATTTAATATGTATTGCCACTCCAAATAAGACTGCATTTTCTTTTTTTAATGTAGCCATGATTTGTGTTCATATCTTAATGTAATAATCACTTTTCTCTTACAAGCCTATTTTTTACCTATCCTAAATTTCAGCTTTAAATTCAAAGTAATGAAACTATTTAGATGCCCTTTACACCAAAAAAACTATTTTTGATGTTTCCTTGATTGTCATTTGGCAATAATTTTTCAATACCATAAAGAAAGGTGGACTGCTGTAATAATTAATTGTATTTGATAGTTTCTAGAGAATAACTAATTATAACTGATTTTTTTAAATGCTTTGAAAGTCTGTGGTCTATACAAAAACAGAACTATTCATACTAAATTCTACTGAAAATAATGTGTAAATCTAATATCCTATTTCTAGGTAGTCTGCAGGGTTTTTTTCTCTCCTGTTTTTGTTATATAAATCATCTCTTTTGATTTGGTTGGATGAAATCAATCATTTAATAAACCTTGCACACAAGTAAAGATGTGTTAATAATTAACTAAATGTCCTTGAGTTACTGTTTGATAAATTTAAGCACACTGAGCCTGTAGGGTACTAATAATTACCCACTCATAAAGACATGAGAAGTATTGAATGAGATAGCAAATAAAGAACACTTGTCTCAGAAAACAATGCAATGACTGCACAGCATTGTTCCGTGATGAAAAAAGTGAAGCCTCTGGAGACAGAATCTCCAAATTTGACTTGTAGCTCACTGCTTTTGAGGCAAGGGATATACTATCTCAGTGCCTCTGTGTCATCTGCTCTAAAAGTGAGTGAAGATTAAAGATCTTTAGCATATACAAAGCACTGTGTTTGTAGCTGTTTGACAAAGTTTGTTTATATCCATCTAGGCAGCTTATGATTGAATGTCTTGGTAGGAGTTAATCTGTCATAAATGTTGGATTTTTACAAATTACTTGATGTACAAATGCCAACTGATTGTATTAAATATACCCAATAGGTTGAGAGAAAATGCAATTTTTTTTCTTCTATGGATACTTTTATCTCCCTAGGCATATTCCTAAAGATTAAAAAAAAAAATTGACCTTGACTCTTCCAGACATGGAAAGGTATGTAGATTCAAGGATTTATCAGACAATACCAATAATTCTAACTTAATAATTAGTTTTTCTAAACCTTCTCCTTGTGCAATGCTGGATGACTAAGTATAAAATTAAATTGGGTTAAGTACACAGCTGTCTGTGACCTTTACTGCAAGATGTAATAGACTCTGACTAAATTCTTTGAACTCAAAAAGTTAGTTTGACGTATCTTCAAATTAGGAAAAAGGAAGTAAATCTGGAGAATAATAAGCTACTTTCTTACAATACCTGATTTCTGAGGAGAAAAAAAAGGAACGTTTTTGACTCACTTGAAGACTCGTGTTGTCACGCAATGAACAGTTTGTAGAATAATTTGTAGAAAAATCTGGACTCATCTCACTATAGTTGCTTGTGCTCCAGTATTAGAAAGGATAAAGGGGTAGAAATGATGCACTTATCTCATTCTGAGGGGATAGACTTACCTACAGGAGACAGCTCTGTGGTAAATCCTTGACCATATCATTTACAAACCTAGGCTTATACTTTGATATCTCGTTCACATTCTCCAATAATAAAATAATTCAAAGAAAAATAAGTTGGGCATGGCAGTACGTGCCTGTAATCTCAACACTCAGGAGGCTGATTCAGAAGAATCACAAATTTGAGAAGTTAGCCTGGACTATATAGTGAGACCCTGTCTCAAAATATAGACAGCGAGATAGATGATATAGATATAGATAGATACATATGTATGTACATATGGATACCTATGTGTAAATACATATGTTTGTATATTTTTGAGTAAACTTTTGTTCTTTTTCTTTTCTCTTTCCTCTCCTACCCTTCTCCCTTGTTTTGTTTTCTTGTCCTTAGTTTTCCTTTTCGTAACTATTACTGGCCCAAACTCAGCTATAAAACAGAATATAAAAATACTGAAAATTGGGCTGGCAGAGTGGCTTAAGCAGTAGAGCACCTGCCTAGCAAGTGCGAGGCTCAGTACTAGATTTTACAACATACACATTTGGGCTTTAATGTACTGAAATAAATGTATTTCTAATAATTAAGAAAAATTAACAATAAAATTATTTAAGAATTTTAGAGGTGATGCACTTTCAGATCATGAATAGAAGAAAACCTGCTAGCCTATGGTGGATGGAAAATGCTCAGCAGGCAACAAAGTTAGGGTTTTTAGATGGTTTGAAAAGAGCATTCTAGATTATAGACTAAGACTCAGAGACTGACTTTAGCCCAGTCAATTCTAAACATAAATAACGTTACATAGAATTTTAATCAACCGAAAATGAGGGGAAGTGGCAGTGGGCCTCCATCCTGCTAACATGTGAGCTGGGGCATCACAAGTGGTCTAGAATGGTCCTGAAAGAGCTTTACCTTGCCTTCAGGGTGCTCCAGAAACACCTGAGATGTACATAGCTTGGCAGGCTCTTTTGGGCCTCTTCTGCTCCTCTCTCTGTCATGTTGTGTATTATAGTCCTTTATGTACACATATAGCTTTTCCTGGTTTCTTGCCTTCATCACATGCATGGCATCCTCTTTTTGACTTTTATTTTCCTTCCTTTCTATCTGCCAAATTCTTAGTCATTTTCCAGGCATCTGCTTGGCTGCTGCCCTCCCTGGGAGGTATCTCTGACCACCTTCTCCCAACTGCTCTATGTAATCATTTCACAGTTTTCATTTACTTATTATGCTTGTTTACCTGTCACCCTCAGTAGGTTTCTGAGTTCTTATTTAGTCACTATTATATTCCTATGATCTATCTCTGAGCTGGATACACAGTAGGTGCACAAAAATGATTGAACTGAGCAATTCATTCAATGCATTTAAAGATATCATCTATGCATCAAACATTGTTCTGCATGGGTACATCTGTCAGTGAACAAAGAAACAAAACCCTTTTCCCCAGAGATCTGGGACTAAAGTAATAAGATAGAAAAACATAAGTATCTGATGACATGGAGAAAACAAACAATGGAGCAGGGTTATGGAAATGAGGACTATATAAGAGTGGGGAATTGCAATGATGAACCCATGAAAGAAATGTTGATCATGAGACTTTGATAACTAGGAGTCTAAATGAAGCCAACTAATGTTTCATAAGCTTCAATGTGTTTGAGGTTTGCTGGATGATAATATTTATTAATTGTTGAAGAGGAGACCAGATGTGAAGTTAAGGCCTAGGCATAATGGTCTAATGGGGTCTGTGGACCCCATTGGATGGCAATGTTGAGTTGTTTCAATAGATAAACCAAAGATCAAAACTTGGTAAGTAATACTTACTGTTGCATTAAACAGGCCCTCAAACTTAGCAGATAAAAACAATAGAAGTTTATTAATCCATTATATAATGTCCCATCATGGGGAAGGGATAAGTTTCTGCTCCACAGTCTTTCAGGGAGAAAGTCTCCTTCCATCTTGTACCTTGGGTGTCTTTGGGTCCTTGGCTAGCTCCTCCCCATCAGGCCAGCAGACAGTAGAAGAAAGAACAATGCTTCTATGAGAGAGATTGTCATCAGCCAGGTCTGGAAGTGACTTCCCTTGGCAAGAACTCACATACCTGCCAAGGAAACAAGGAAATACAAGCTGACTATGTGACCAAGCAGAAAAACAGACAAGGTTTGATGGATGAAGACAAAGCACATTCTGTCAGTCATCATGTCCTGTTCTTTGTTCTCCCTCTCATCTCCTTTCTCTTTCCCTTTTTTTCTTACTCTTTTCTTCTATTAAAAGACCCCACAAGGGCTTCTTCCTTATACAATGTCTATCCAAGATTATCTGAGGATAGTCAGGGTCTTGGGTTGATTTAAGGAAGAGACTTTTACCCATTTCTTGCTTCCTTGAAGGACCATTGTCTGACTCTTGTTCCTCCAGCTGCTCTGGAGCCACCATTAGAGGTTATCTCCTTGGGAAAGGACAAAGTTATTATTCTCTTGGAGTCACATCTCTGCTGCGGAAGACAGGTAGCAAGCAATAGTTATTATAAGTAATTATACAGAATGCAGGAAAGGAATAAGTTCTGGAGAAAGGGAAAAGGTAAAACAGGGAAAGGGGGATTAGGTAAAGATATGCTGATATCAGTATGAACATCAATGCATGTGCTTCACATGACAATAATAGCTTACTGTGGTATAGTACTTCAAACATGCCAGGCACTGTCAAAAGTGTCTTACTATAGTAACTCAATCCTCAAACAATAGCTTGTTGGTTGGAAAGCATAAAGGAAGCCCTTGATAGGGTGGCAGAGTGGCTCAAGGGGCAGAGTACCTCCTCAGTAAGCATGAGAGACCCTGAGTTCAAACCCCAGTACCACCAAAAAAAATGAATGCCCTTGAGAGATAAACCAGTAATAAAGAAAAGTGGAAAAATAAAGCCCTATTAGTTCTATCTTTGAACTGTTGTGAGTATATGTCTCTCTTTCCCTACTATCATTTTTACTGCCCTGATTATAGGTGTGAGATTAGGAAGATGGATCTGAGTGTGAGCACTCAGAGGGAAAGTAGTCCTTAAGTTTGGCGCCTTTTCAAGAATATATAAGAGAACATGTACACTTGCATTTGTTAAGAGTACTGTTCTTGTAGAAACAGTGAGTTTACAAAGTACACTTTTGAACATCAGAGTTTACACCTGAGTTAGTAGAGATCGTCAAAGACTGTGCCCCTCAATAGCTAAAGAGAGAGGATTGCCTCCCCACGTCCACCTCCACCACTACTAGGCTCTTTGTCCAGGTAAATCTTTGTCAAAAACTATCTAAGTATAATTTTGACTACTTCTTTTTACAAGTACATGCAAAAGGTGTAACAGAAATCTCTGTTTCTAGAAGTGATGGCCTAGGTGTTAGTTGTGTCAAGCATGAATCACAATCACAAGCTGTGGGAATAGCTGAATGTGGGAACACTTGTCACAGAAACCCATATCTTCCTGTCAGACTAATGTAACAGCCCAAATGTATCAGAGAGGCTTCTCTATTAAGCAAATTCTGCATGTTTCCTTGGAGTGAATTTGGATATGTAGATAGCATAAAATAAGGTTTGCCTTTGTTTGCTTAAGAAAAGAAAGAAGAAAATACATTTTAAAACACTCAAAAAAAAAAACCCCAAAAAACAGATGAAGCATTTATTGGGCAGTTTTCCATTAGATGTATTTCATTTGACTTCATTTTTTTATAAAGGAAGATGAAACAAGGCGGATCATGGGGGGGACTTCCTATAGCAGCTGCTTAGCAGGATGTGCACTTGAGAGAAGGGTGGAAGGGAGGCTTCTGGAAACTGTTAACAACTGCCCCATGTGTAAATAACAAGCACAACCTCTTCAACCTGTCATCATTGAAGGACCTTTGGCATTTTTCACAGACAGTTCTGCAGGACTCCTGGCTGAGCCAAGGTACCCATCTTAGACTATCTCTACCCCTTGACCTGAGTCATTGGCACCTTTATGAAAATCCCTAACTCCCTTTTTTCACCTGGCAAATTCCTACCCTTCAATATTTGAATGAAATTCGCAGGACACTGAGTAGGTCACATCCACCCTTTATTTAAGTGCTACAGGATGTGGGTTTACTGCAGAGGCTTACTATCCAACAGCTGTGTCACCTGGGGAAGTCAACTTGCCTGTATCTCAATTATCTTATCTATAAAGCAGAGAGAATGATAATAGGTATTTCATAAGGTTGTTGCAACAACTAGATGCATTGGTAAACTTCTTATGGTTTGCATATGAAATGTCCCTTATAGCCTCGTGTACTGGAGATTTGGTTTTGGTGAAGTGATTGGATCCTGAAGGCTCAGATATAATCAATGGATTAATAATCCTTTGCTGGATCATGATATTATTGGGAGGTGGTAAAAAAGTAGGAGGTGGGATCTTTGGAGGAAGTAAGGCATGTCCTTGGGGCTATATTTTGCCCTGGCTCCTTCCTGTATTTCCTCTGCTTCCTGGCCACCATGATGTGGACTGCTCTGCTCTGCCATGCCCTCCCCACCATGATGAACTGAAACTTATGAAACCACAAGCCAAAAATAAATGCTTCCTCCCTTAAGATTTTCCCTCAGGCAACTGAGTTAGATACCTAATTCGGGTATCTATAAAGCGCTTAGAACACTGGCTGGCACAGAGAAAACACCAAATTAATGGTAGTCATTATTCTTCTTCTGAAAGTCAAGTACAATAGCAGGTATCTGATGAACTGAAGTGAGTCAATCTCTCTTTTTTTGCAGGAGGAGCAAACAGACTTCTGACATATCTTTTCTACACTTGTCACTACTGGACACTGTTTCATCTTACAAAAAAGACAATGAAAATGAGTGATACTACAAGAAGATAAACAGCAGTAGCTATAACACTAGTTTTTTTCCCCTTAAGAATAAAAATATTAAATGTTCATTATAGAAATTTGTGAAAAGAGAAGCATGAAGAAAATTACTTTTAGTAGCCCTTATTCTTTCTATTCTTTCTATATGCATGAGATAACTATATGAATATGTATAATGTACATATAATAAATATTATATGAATCAGTTGTATGTTATGGTATACATATTTCTAAGGTAACTACATATGGTTACAAACAATTGTTTAAGAACGTATAATATTCATAAATGTATCACTGCTTATGTAATTAGTTCTCTGTTGACTATTTTGAGTCCTATTTTTGTGGAATAGAGATCATGCAAATCATACATCTTCATACATAAATCTATTTTTTTTAGGGGAAAACTTAGGTCAACAATAGGCACAGATGGCTGAAGTTATAGCTCAGTAGTAGAGTGCTTGCCTGTCATGCACAAACAAGACCCTGTGTTCAATCCTCTGCACTGCCAAAAAAAAAAAAAAAGAACCAATAAATAAATAAACTGGTCATGTTGGTGTATGGCATAATATCAGCACTTCTGAAGTAGAGGCAGGAGGATCGTGAGCCCACACTACAAAGTGAGACCCTGCCTCAAAAATAAAACAAAAACAACCTCAATGGCTCCCTGACGTGCAGAATGATTACCAAACTTCTCATTTCTCACACAGGCATTTGAAAAATCTTCACAAGATGGGCCTTATGGTGTTTTCTTAGATTATACTCTTTCCTCTGCCTCCTCCAGCAAGGTCTGACCTTCCTGAGCAAACTCTGAACTGCAGACCTCATGGGAATATACCAGACATTCTTTCAAAAAACACTTTTCCAACACATCTGCACTATACACCTACCAGCAAGGTCTTCTTAGAAACTGGATCTGTGATTTCCAAAGGGCTCTTCAAGGCCTCTTGTTTTTCAGTTAATCAGGAGCATCGACTGTGTCTATTTTTCCTGGGTAGGTAAAGATAGAAGAAGGGGAACGTTGCATTAATAAAATGAGAAGCAAAACTCAGTTGAGGACACCAGCTATTCCCTGCTATTACCCCATCCTTGAGGGTCTTCCATAAAGGTTCAGAGAGTGGGGAGCAGCTTTAACCACAGACAATTCACATGCTTTGTGAATTCTGTTGTATTAGGATGGGGATGTGGCTCAAGTGGTAGAAGGCCTGCCCAGGCAGCATATAACTCTGAGTTCAAATTCCAGTACCACCAAAAAAGAAAAAAGAAAATATCATAGATTGTTTGCATAAATAAGATATACCCTGCAGTTTTTAGATACTTCTAGCAATATAGTTTAACTTCACAGAGAGACAGCTAAGACATCTGTGTTACTTCCCTCTCATATATAAATAATTTTCAATAAAAATTGTGACAAGAATAATTTATTTTCTTCACCAAGTAGAAGCCATCGCTATGGAAGACCACTTAGAAGACATGAGATAAATTTTTTGCTAGAAATTACTCTTGAATTTACAAAGAAAAGAGGGAGTTTTGTTCTTCTCTGTGAAGTTGGCAGAAAATCGAGGTCTTTCTCAAACAGTTTTGGCATGCAGGGTCATTTGTCACTGAAATATAAAAAAGTATGTGAAGTCTGGGTCCCCACGGATCATCTGGTAGGGGAACCTAGTAAGTTCTGTACAGAGCAGATTTGTGGGATCCAACTTTTGGGGCTAAAACAAACACAAATGCTCCTCCTCCGAGGGGCGGGGGCGGTGTCTGAGCAATGCACCAATCACAGCGCGCCCTGCCCTATATAAGGCCCTGAGGGGCAAGCGGTATTTTACGCTTGTCGCTGGTTATTACTCATAGGTTTTGGTGTTGGTATGTCCGAAACGGTTCCTGCAGCTCCAGCTGTTCCTGCTCCGGTCGCTATGGAAAGGCCTCCAGCCAAAAAGCGAGGCAAGAAGCCAGTTGGTCTGTCAGGTGCCAGTCATAAGGCCCGGAGTTCTTCAGTGTCTACGTTGATCACTGAAGCTCTCTCGGTGTCTGAGGAACGGACAGGGATGTCGCTGGCGGCCCTGAAGAAGGCACTGGCATCTGTTGGCTACGATGTAGAAAGGAATAACAGCCGCATCAAGATTGCTCTAAAGAGTTTGGTGACCAAGGGTATCCTGGTGCAGACCAGAGGTACTGGTGCCTGTGGTTCTTTCAGACTCAGCAAAAAGGCTGTTCCTGAAGGCAAGAGCAAGGTGAAAAAATCGACCAAAAACAAGAAGCTGGGCATATCTAGGGACTCGAAATCCCCAAAGAATGCCAAGAACAACAAGGGCGTCAAGAAGCCGAAGACTACGCCGAAGAAGGTCTCCGGGGGCGGAAGGAAAGGTGGTGGTAAAGGAGCTAAGAGCATTCAACAGCGGAAGAGCCCAGCCAAAGTGAGAGCTGGGAAGCCCAAGGGTGGGAAGCCGAAGATGGCCCTGCAGAAAGGAAACCCTCGGAAAGCCGTGTCCAAGTGAGGAGCGCTAGTAAAAAGGCAGCTTTCGAAGAACCCAAAGGCTCTTTTAAGAGCCACCTAAATCATTTTAAAAGGGTGTGAGACTGACAAGGCGAGTCGCCTACGAAGTTGAGTGTAATGAGGTGAAGTTAAGGTAGGTTTTGTTATTTATAGAACTGGGTAGTAAAAAGCTACGGTTGCGCTATAGGAGTTATTCCATGCTGCTTATTATCTTAGATGTGCGCTAGCGAGTTACAGTGAAATAGGGCATGGAAGGGGTAGAAACGAGCGCCACTATGTTCTAGAAATACCAATGTCAAGGGAGGAAGTGGAGATCAGTTCAACTGAACATACCTCACAGTTCAATTTGTTAATCCCTTTTTCGTGTTGCATTCAGCATTCAGGTTTTTTTTTTTTTTTTAAACGTCATTCTAAGGGTTTCCTGGTCAAACATTCAAAAGAGCAGTATGTATTAGTCAAAATAAGAGGATTTCCTGAGTGTGACTGATAAAAATACTATAGCAAGTTCAAGACTGAATTAAAAACAGTACCTCCAACAATAAAAAACCTTGAGACTTCGTACTATTACATTTCTGGAATGTTAACCAAGATGGGCTTATATTACTGTTGTATTTTATAAAGGGACTTAATACTTTCTCGCCTAATAATCATATATATGATTATATATGTGATTATTACATATATGATTATTATATATATATGATTCATATATATATATATATATATATATATATATATGAATTTGTAGACTTTATCAGACTGCTAGAGAACACCACAGGATGAAAAATGTTAAAAAACCTAACCTTTATGGAAATGTTTGTGGCTCACAATTGATAAGGCCTGAATTCAACTTTCCTAAAACACAAAAAAATTGTATCAGGAAACTCAGGGTCCTAGTTGAAGTACTTTTATTTTTAAATTTTGGGGTTTTCTCTTAATTTGTGGTTTAGCATTTTTTAAAATTTCTTTTATTCATATGTGCATACAATGTTTGGGTCATTTCTCCCCCTTTCCCCCACCCCCTCTCTTTCCCTCCACCCTCTCCCTCTCCCTCTCCCCTCTACCCCCTCGCTTCCAGGCAGAAACTATTTTGCCCTTATCTCTAATTTTGTTGAAGAGAGAGTATAAGCAATAATAGGAAGGACCAAAGGTTTTTGCAGGTTGGGATAAGGATTGCTATAAAGGGAGTTTACTCACATTGCTTTCCTGTACATATGTGTTACATTCTAAATTAATTCTTCTCGAACTAACCTTTTCTCTAGTTCCTAGTCCCCTTCTCCTATTGGCCTCTGTCTCTTTGAAGTTTCTGCATTAGTTCCTTTGCGCTGAGGACATCAAATGCTATCTTGTTCTTTTTGGGTTTCTTGCCTATCCTCATACCTCCCTTGTGTGCTCTCACCTCATCATATGATCAAAGACCAATCTCCTTGTGTTTGCCCTTGATCTAAAGTCCGCATATGAGGGAGAACATACGATTTTTGGTCTTCTGGGCCTGGCTAACCTAGCTCAGGATGATATTCTCCAGTTCCAGTCATTTACCTGCAAATGATAAGATTTCATTCTTCATGGCTGAGTAAAATTCCATTGTGTATAGATACCACATTTTCTTAATCCATTCATCAGTGGTGGGGCACCTTGGCTGTTTCCATAACTTGGCTATTGTGACTAGTGCTACAATAAACATGGGTGTGCAGGTGCCTTTAGAGTAGTGGTTTAGCATTCTTAAGGACAATCATGAATATTGAGACCATGCTAATATTTGTGTATTTGGGGCCTTGGTGCTATGTGGTGCATTACTTGACATATAAGGATGTTCTCCAGATGGCTCACCAGGCCCTTGCCTCTCTGGACTCATTCGTGTAATTCTTTTTGATAAATTGTGTACTCAAGTTGAAAAGGACTAAATGATGAATCAATCTCAACCCTTGCTGTGTCTGGATATGATGCATGCTGTGCTCCTATGAGGTTGGGATGTGAGGATAGTGTCAGAATGTGGTTTATTTGCTTGATATCACAGCCTGCAGGTCTTTCAACACCTAGATTGGGTTCTGTGTATTTTTGTTCCTCTTGATTTCAGCACCTCGCATACATCGGGTTTAAAACTGTTCCTCTACTTCTGAGGGCCCCCAGAAAAACTTTCAGCACCCCCAGGGTTTTCTCATAGATGAGGCCAAAGATGCCCTTCACACCACCACGCCATGCTATCTAGCTCTTTGATGGGTAGCTCTTTGACTGGAAGGAGAGGTACAGATTTCCTTATGTTGAAAATCTTTTATTTCTTTTTTGTTTTGCATTATTTTGTGTATGCACCTGCAAATTGAAAGTAACCTTATCAAGTCAATGACACTGAGCAAAGAGCTGTTAGTTTTTTGGTGGGAAGTAGAAATAATATCTAAATAAGGTGAGTTAATATGACAAGGAACGTTCCCCTTTTATCACTTTTAATATTCCTATTCAAACCAACGCATTTTGACAGCCTTTTTTGTGCTGTCTCTGACAAAGTTCTGCCCCTAAAAGCCCTATGTTTGGGAAGAATAAAATGTGGACAAATAATTGCAAATTAAAACTTTGTAAACGTTTTCTTCTACACAAATTTCTTTCTCTTTCCTGTCTTGGTTCAAACATTTATTGAGTAACTTCTTTTTCTGCAAGTCTGTGAGAGAGGCAGGGAACATAGGCTAAGCTTGGGGAATCAGTTGACCTCTCTTCTGGGCCTGTTATGCCCGTCTGATCTGCCCACAATTCCAAACGTGCTTCCCTTCTTGCTTTTATTAATCCCCTTTCAACCTGCTCCAGCTTTAGAAACAAGGCATATGTTTTGTAGAGTGGGGAATTAATTGCAGTGTAGGGGTAATACTTGATTAAGGTCATTACAAAGCCTACTGAGGTCCTCCCATGGGTGGCCTTTGATAAGAATATTGATGTTAAAACAAGGAAAATGCCTTTTTTTTTTTCTTTTTAAGGCAGAAGAATTAAGACTGAATGTGGTTTGAAGAAACTTCTCAAACCAAAATTTTCTCCTTAGCTTCGTGCTGCAGCTTTTGAAAATTTCCACAGTAAGAATCACTATTCTTTTAAAAAATAAACGAAACACCAACAATCCCCCTCCCCCATCCAGTTAACGAATGTTTATTGTCAATAGCGAGAATGAGACTATAACCTGAAAGATACAGCATACTTTAGCCTCAGAATTTGTCACATAAGAAAAGACACAGAGAGGAGAAAAGAGACCCGGAGAGGGCAGGTCATCTTCTGCCCCCAAACTGAAAGTTTTTAGGAACTGGACACTCCCCACTACAAATACTTTATAGCAGGAGATTTAGCTAAGAAGGAACTTCAAACATTACGTAGTGGGGAGGAGGGGGCAGTGTGGCAGGAAACAAACTTAAGGAAGCTGGACGTGAGAAGGGTCACGTAGCACTGAGAATAAAGTAGCCAATGAAATAGTACGTAACCATATACTTCCGTAACCTGCTTGCAAGGGTATATGAGGCAAGTCCCCTTTGTTCTCGGGGCTCAGCCTTTGGGCTCCAGTCCGCGGAGTCTGTGCTGGCACAATAAAGCGTCGCTTTCTAGGGACCTGCCTCGGTGTCCTGTCTCTCTGTTCCAGAATCCCGCAACAATTACAGAGCAAAAGTGCAAGGCCTGAGGTCATCAGTGGAGCTCTGAAATCTCAACATCCTTTTTAATTCACAAAAATAGAAGTATAGTGTATACAGCATGACAATTTTGGGCAAAAATACCTGCTGTGAGGTCCCTGAAACACATGCAAGCAAGTGCCACCTTCATTTGAACTGTTGGTCTAGATTCTCTTTTCCCCAACTTTATTTTGCCTATTACGTCATTAATAACACCTCACTTTTATTTTGATAGTTAATTTATTCCTTCTTAAAAATTTCCTACTTCCAATAGTCTCTGATTTTTCTCCATGATAGTGACTCAAAAATAATGGATATTCAACAGAAAAATATACATACACACACACACATACAAATATATATGTAATTATGTATTTTAAATGGTCCTTCTACTGTAGAAGAGAGTACAAATATTACCCAATCATGTGGCTTGGGAGACAGAGTGGCTCCCCCCTGAATCTGTATGGCTTCCTACTTTCTTCTTTCACCTTCTTCCCATCCTCCAGGTGAACCTCCAGAACCCCATTCACTCACCATGGAAACTAGGCCCTCCTTCCTCCAAACAGGACTGGAGGTGTGGCTCAAGAGATAGAGCACTTGCCTTGTAAGTGCGAAGCCCTGAGTTCAACTCCAGTCCCACCAAACAAACAAACAAAAAAACTTGTAACAGAACACAACATGCACTCAGAAAAGTAAAACTATGATATTAATCAAATGTCTTTAAAAATGTGTAATGCCCAGAAACATCCTCCACAGGCCATCAGAATACTGAGTTGAGGAATGAAATATAAATTATATATAATGATATACACACACACACACACACAACAACAAATAATTCTCAACAAACAGCAGTCCAATATTGCTTTTAATTGTATAACTGTACTTAAGTAAAAAGCAACAAAATCTTAAGATAGAAATAACTTTGAGCTATATTAGAGTTGAGAAAATATATAAGTACAGTATCATCCAGCTTATACTCCTAGGGCTTTATACTGTTACAATGGTTATCTCCAGGCATTTGGGGCATCATCCTTGATGTGTGACAGGCAGGCTCTCTAGCTACCGGCTGATTTATCCATTCTCATCTTAGGTTTCTCTTTTTCAGCCACCTAATCTTCCTCCTGGTTGTGAATATCCATTTTTTATTCACTTTCCCTGAATTAAGCTGTCATTGTTATTGGCATGTCTTTGGCATAACATATTCTATGTTCCTTATTGTTTTTTCTACTTCCTCTCCTTACTCTTCAAGAAAATGTCCTTGCATTTTCCCTTTAGTTCAAATTCTTTCACTAAAAGTTTTCTTCATGTGCACTTCCTAGGCCTGTCTTGTTTGGATTCTCTTTATACACTTTGGCCTGTTTAAAAAACAAAAAGTTATTTGGACCAAGAAATTCTAACAGTATCCTTTCTCACATAGTTTTTTCAAATATTTTATAAACATGGTTGTAATTAGATTTGATTTTTCACAATTCCCTTTAATACTTCCTTCATCACACATGAAGAACAAACTATTTTGCACTTGCTTTAATGATGACATTGTGAACCACTTAGACAAAAGAAAGAACATCAACTATTACATTCATATTTAAAGTAGATGTTCTTATGCATAATCAAGCACTTTGCACAGTTCTGAGGTTGGTTACTGACTTTTTCAAAGCGTCATTGGGGCAACTCTGTTTAAGGAATAAACCTAAGATATGTACTCGACCCATAGAGTAAATTTAACTAACAAAAATTGTATTGAAGTTTCTACAAACATTGGTACATACTTTCTAAAGACAGCACTGAAAACATCAAAATAGTTTGTAGAACCAAAATACCAAAAGCCATAATTTTATTTTTTTAAATAATAAGAATACTTTCTACTCAAATCTGGTAGATAAAATGATTTGCAGGGTCTTCAAGAATACCTGTTACCAATTTTTTCCCTGAATGATAAAGAGAATAATAAATGGAAATGTGAATTCAATGGCAAAAAAATGTGTGTATATACAGAAAAAAAATTAATTAAAAAATATACCTGGCCCGGCACAGGTGGCTCATGCCTATAATCCTAGCTACTAAGGAGGCAGAGATCAGGAAGACTGCAGTTTGAAGCCAGCCAGGGCAAATAGTCTGAGAGACCTTATCTGGAAAAACCCATCACAAAAAAGGGGGTTGGGAGAGTGCCTCCAGGTTTAGGGCCTGAATTCAAACCCCAGTACTGAAAAAAAAATTACACCTAAAAAATGTTTCAAAATATTTCTGATAAATTTAACTTTTTCTATCCCACTGAGTTCTTTGGAGGAATTAACATTCAGAACAAAGCTTGGTATCTAGTATTTAATAATATTTAACTGAAAACAATTAGTTTTAGAAAATGTTCTTCCCACAGAAGATTTTATCACGAATGCAAATAAATCCAGGGGGAAAATGGAAGATAGGGAAGCATCTACTCAAAACATACTATTTATATCTCCCTGCACTTGAAAACAATTACCAAGAAGCAGAATGCCTGATATCATAATGCATGCCATGCTGAGTAAGATGTAAATGTATACAAGGTGTCAAAGCAGCCTGGGTTTTCTAATAACACTGTCATGTGAAATACCTTAAATTGTATTCTTATTCTATATGCTAGAGTGTAGGAGTTATGCAGTGAAGCAAAAAGGGAGAAAAAATTATGACCCAAAGTCTTCAGACAGAATCAAAGTTACAAATACTAGCCTACACATGAACATCTTTAATTTTTAAAGTCATGCAAATTGGCTTCATAGTTATTATTAAAGCAAAGTACAGTTATTAAAAACTGATAGCTTAAAATAACTTGAGAAATTTTGGCATCTTGCAGAAAGTATATTGCTTTTAAATGCTGATATGTCCACAAAGAATATTTCATATTGCATAAAGTACATGTAGCATTGTTAATTTTATATTAAAATACAACATAAGAAGAATTTCAGCTTGTCCTTCCAGCAGGCCTACCACTGCTGTACTTGATTCAAAAACTACCAGGTAGCTTTCCTTCTGTTCTGTTACCAGTTCAGGCAACTCAGCAGAATCCTAGGATTCCAGCCACTCAAATAGCTAGTGAATTGGTTTTTTGTTGGTATTGTTTGTTTTTTGTAATTTTAGGGGCTTTTCTCTGCAAATGTTGCCCCTTGTACCAATCTTTGTCAACCCTTTATGGTTAGGAAAATAGCCTCCCACTCACCTCTCTCCCTGGCTCACTGCAGTCACATGACCCTTGTGATACATTTACTTATAGCCACTAGGTGTCACTCTTTACCTTAGGACCACACATTTGAACATCACCCTATTCCTTGTTGCCATCTCATCTGTGTTTGTTCTATATTGCATTTGTATGTCTCCTGAAACAGCCAAATAGAAAACAGAACAATTCATTTACAACCCTGGAAAATAAAATTCTCTGAGAGATCAAAAAAAAAAACAAAAAACAAAAAAAAAAAAGGACCACACTTTGTGTTTTTGCCAGAAGTGAAATAGACTATTTAAAACATAGGTCTTCAATTTTTCTAATGTAATTGACGTTAAAAATTAATGAGCAAGCCAGAAACATTAAGCTAAGAAACACTGGAAGAAAATGGGAATTTATCATTTCTATGCTAGAAAACATTGTTAGGCCACGGTTGCTGATAATTAGTGAATGTGTTATTGTGATAACTAGGGTGTTCCTTGAAATCTTAGCCTGAGAGAAAGAAAAACCAATACAAAAAAACCATTACCTAATTGTAATTTATGTACTCTTCAGGTAGAAGAGGAAATGAAATGCTTTGGCAGTCTTCTTTGTACAGGATGATATTTACAGAGAAAAACTCATCAGTGTTCTTCCAGCATGGTTTGGAGTTAAAATAACCAGTGTCTTGCAACGTAGATGATAATGTCCTTACAGTGAAAGAAAACTATTAATTCAGCTACCAAGTTTAAAGAAAATATTCCATAAAACTAAATGCAAAAAAAAAAAGAAGTGATATAAATGTTCCCCAAAGTGCATAATGGTTAAGTGTGTACAAAAGATGGAGAAGGACATCAGTAAAATCTGCAGTACACAACACAACTGTACACTTATTAAAATATATGTCTTTGTTAATTTTACATATTTTAATGGCAGCAAAAGCAAAAGGTGATACACAAGTTGCTAACAGAGTTTATCACTGGCTGATGAAATCAAAGATTTAATTTTATTTATTTTTAACTTTTCTATAATGAACCAAAATTTTTGTTACACAGTCTCATAACCAGGAAAAAGCATTAAAAAATCCTGAGTTGTCTGTTCCAATTTAATGCCTACCAAATAAACTTTTGAGCTATGCTTAGTATCCTGAGGTACTTGTCCTCCAAGACAGAATGCTATGCCAACAGGTATGCAGTCAAATATATGTAGCTTCACAAAGTAAACACACACCACCTGGATGAACACACACACACACACATATACACACACACATGGTTCCTCTGAATACGGTCAGATGAATTACTTTCCCAAAATCTAATTTCTAAGTTGTTTGCTTAGATTGTTTGAAAATACATAACTGGGAATAAGAGCCAAAATTCCAGCTACTTCAGAGAAATGCCTGCATATCTTCTAAGCCACTTTTTAGCTTCCACTTTTCCATTTTAAAATGAGGATTGTTCCAGTTTGTCAAAGGAAATGACATCAGGATTCTTACTCCAGAGACACTGGCCAAGGGAGGACATTGTGAAATCCAATACAACCACTAACTGACCCCACCAATCACTGTCCTTGCACACGAGCTAAAGAGACAGAAGCCAAAGAGGACAAGAGAGGAGTATGGGAGCCACGTTCTAGGTGCTTCCTGCAGGAACTCTGACATCTGAGGATCAGTAGATTGCTGGCTGCTGTTTCTCTTCATTTGTGTCAGGCTCATTGAGAAGAAACTTGATGCATCATAGAAGAGACATCTCCTTCCTTCTCTATTTACTTCATGTATCTAAGCCACCTGAATGTCAGACAGTTGACATTGAAAGCTATGAGATACTCTATGCTTCACTTCCTTCATCTAAAGAAAAGTGGGGAGAGGATAGGCACAGTGGCTCACACTGAAAAATTCAGTAGTGTCTCCCTCCGTACTGGAAGATTGCAGGTTGAAGGCCAGTATGGGCAAAAAGGTAGCTAGACCCAAACCAGTTGAGTGTGGTGGTACATGCTTGTAATTCTAGGCACACAGGAGTTGTATTTAGGAGACTCTTGGTCTGACCCTGGCCCTGAGGTAAGCAAGAAAAGAAGATTTAAAAAATAAAGCAAAAAGGGCTACAGGCATGACTCAAGTGGTACAGTGCTTGCCTAGCAAGTGCAAGGCCCTGGGTTCAATCCCTAATACTGACAATTTTTTTTAACTTAAAAAATAAAAAGTGTATATGTGTGTGTGTGTGTGTGTGTGTGTGTGTGTGTGCACAACAGTAGTACCTACTTCATAAAATTATTATGACTTGAATGCAATAATGCATGTAAAGAGGTGCTCAGACCAGAGTATGACACCAAGTGCTTTCACAAAATAAGTGACAACCACATTATCATTATTATAATCATCTTTTCCATGATTTTCATTATTAGAATAAAGAAAGAGGGTATTTCAAGTCTAGCACACTAGAGAGATGTCACAAATTCAGGGGCCATTAATCTTTGAAAACCCACATGGCACCTTAGAAAAAGATGCCCCCTCCCCCTTCAAACCTCTTTAAGGCACTTCTTTCCCACCTGCTGAAAAGCATTTATTGTGCACATGAACTCTACACATTTCCGAAAATGTATCTCGTTGGGTTGTGCAGTGCACAATCTTTACAATGCACAATGACCCAGATCTTGCTCTGATGGAAGAGAACCAGGGTTTGGTGACAAATAATTACGGAATAACAGAAGATTCAAGGGAAAGTTGAGTAGGTCCTGGATGCCAGACCATGTATGCCAAATTCAGTGGAAATATGAGTGTGATGTCCCAGGGTGATGGTAAAATGAATCATAAGTCTCCCAAAATGAAAGAGCCCTCTTCAGACCCAGGGGATGAGATGACATCGATGCATAGGGTCTAGATTAATGGAGGAACTGAAGATGCATGAGGAGGAGCTTGAGATTCATGAGAACCAGTTCTGGGGGAAAGAGGGCACAGCTGGGGGGGCAGGTCACCGTCATGCAGGAAATCAAAGACCTACATGGGAAAACTCTTTGAGAAAGTGAACAGGGAAAGCTACGAGCAGAGTTCTTTGGGCAGTTTCTATTGGTTATGTCAACTCCATCCTGAAAAATGTCGAACATGACAAGGACACCCCTCTTTGAGTCTCTGGTTCTCCTCCCCACAAAGGGGTCTGGGGGGCTGTACTTCACTCACATTCGGCTAAGACGTAGTCCCCCATGGCTCCTCCTGTGAAGGCAAGAGACCCAGAGAGAAGCATCACAGATCTAGACACCATCCTGCCCTGTCCCTCACCTTTCTCATCCACCCATCCCAACTCTGACCACTTTTATCTAGGAGCACTACTGGATTTCAGGCACTGTTATCTCATCTGGAATTATTTATCAGCCTAACTGCTCTCTGTGCCTCCCATCTTACCTCCTGATAACCCACCCACCAAATGAGGGAGATTTTGTCCGTCCCTGCTTACGTTCCTTCACTAACTCCTTCATGACTCTAACATAATGTTCCAAAGGGCCCAGGATTGTGCATGGTCTGGCTTCTGTCCCCATCTCTTTTCCCCACAACACAGATACTCAGAGGGTAGAAATGCAGATTCATAATTAACAGAGACAAGGCAGGATAATTATTTCTTACCTCCTAGCATGCTTCATTCTTACCTACTTTGTAGGTTTGTTCCATCTGTGTAGACCTTCCCTTTCTTTCCTCATCCTCAACCTCATCTAAAGAAATCCCACTTTCTTTCTCCTTCCAGATCCAGAAGACTTCCTTTGTTAATTCTTTTTTCCTTTGTGGCAGTACTGGGGATTGAACTCAGGGCCTGACACTTGCTAGGCAAGCGCTGAACTACTAGAGCCATGCTCATGGTCCTTTTGCTTTTAGATTGTTTTTCAGACAGGGTCTGTGCTTTGGCCCAGGACAGCCTTGTACCCCAATCCTCCTGAGTAGGTGAGATTATACTTATGTAATACCATGCCCATCTTCTTGTTGAGCTAGGCTCTTGCTAACTTTTTTTGCCCAGAGGTTGGCCTTGAACTATGATCCTCCTCTCTCTGCCTTCCAAGTAGCTGGAAATACAGGTTTGTACTGCCACACCTAGCCTAGAATCCTTTCTAGATCCCCAGCTGATGTGACAATTCCTCCCTGTGACACCCAAAAGCATTTGTTTCCTTCCTACCATAGAACCTCAGGGGTCTTCTTTAACTGCATTTACTTGTCATAAATTTTACTCCTTGCTAGATTTAGGTTCTGAGAATGGCCACAGCAACTCTCTCAACCTCAAAGGTCCTGCTCAACCTTAAACAGCACTTGTAAAATACTAGGCATTCAAAACGTGTTTACTGAATCAGGAACTTTCATTCTTAGTGGTGAAAACCCATTAACTCCTTTCCTGTTCTCAGAGAGAAGCTAGGCTCTCACCTCAAAAAATGAGAGTGGAGAAGGCATCCCATGGATGGGGCTTTCCCTCTGCCCCATTTTATGCAAGAGAATAATGTGTCCCGGGGATAAAGGCACAAACACGCTTTTCCTTGTTCCTACTCACTTGAAGCCTGCTTCTTCCTTAAGGTTCGGAACAAAATTCCAACAATGATGACACAAACAGTGACCCCACTGATGACTCCAACGATCAGGGTGTTAGACATCGACGGCACTAAAACAGGAAAAGCAAGTTCAAGTCCAAGACTGCCACCCCCAACACAGAGCAGATCCTTCCCTGGCCATGGTAACCACCCCTGTTCTACCCTTGGCTCTGTTCCACAGTGTTCTCAGCCCTTGGCTCTCATCCTTACCCCATGTGACACTGAGGGGCTGATCCAGGCCTGGGTGCTCCACCTGGCAGGTATATCTCTGCTCTTCCCCAGGAACCACAGCCAAGGTGATTCTGCCTTGATAGGTCCCATCCCCGTTGGGCAGCACATCAGTAGGCTTGGCCTCCTTGGTATCCAGTGGCTGCCTGTCCTTCAACCACCTCATGATGATGTTCTGGGGGTAGAAGTTCAAAGCCTGACACTGTAGAGTGCTCACTGCAGAGGCCACATGTTGAGACACCTTCACCAAAGGAGGCACTTGACAGGAAAGAGGAAGGGCGAGGAGAGGGGATCTTTTTACCCTTGCCAGGCAGACTGTAGGTTTCACTCGCCTCTATGGATTGGAGGAAGAGCAGACCCTTCTCAGACAAAACAAGCTGCAGGAGACACACCATTTTGTGTCCTAAAAATGGTTCCAAGATTTGACTCTGATATAGTATCATGTGGAAAAGAGTCACAGTCATTTCAGCCTGTTCTCTTGTCTCTGTAAATGTGTTGCCCATATTTGTGGGCTAACAATACCTGTTGCCCATGTCCTCTGTTCTGACAGATGAAATTACCCTTTATTTGGATCAAAATTGGTATGAGATATCAATTTCACCTGGTTCAGTCCAGTAAGTATTCTCGAAGAAAGGGCTTTATTAAGTAGGCAGGCCTCAGTGATTATTGCTATGTTTTGTAAAAATCTTTAATTTTTAAAGATTTCAAAATATTTTTTACAATTTTTAAATTTTAAAGATTTTAATTTTTTAAAGGGTTCTGCTACTATGATGGGTTGCCTCAGTTGGCATTTTCTTGCCTTAGTATTCATGTGATAATTAAGATCTCCGAATTCCTAAAACTTATAAATATACCTTGACTAAACCAAAAGAGGATCACAGATAGTTCTTTTTTAGCAATGTGCATGAAGAATTAAATCATGATTTATGGTTGAATCATAGGTCTCAATATATGGTAGAGACCATAGTATTGGGCAAGTCCTTTCCCAGAACTTAGGAGAGATACACAACAGTCCCCACCTCTGAAACCCCAGTGAGGGATCCTGTACCTTATACTCATCATACCTTGCTGTTCCAGAACCCCTCTTCCCAGCTCCAGGAACTGCTGCAGCTGCTTGGGGCAGTCCCTCTCGAGGTAGGCCTTGTTCTGCTTGGTCCGAATATTGTGCACTTCCCACTCCACCTTGGTGGCCCAAGCTTTGGGCTCTGTTGCTCTCCAGTCCAGTGTCTCAGGGCAGAATTCAAGGTAGTCCTGCCCATCATATCCATACTTCCAGAACCCTCTGGTACTGTTGTCCTCATGCACCTCGCAGCCTAGGAACACCTGCAGGGTGTGGGACTCTGGCAACAACCCCCACCTTGTTACTGAAACCAGAGGAGTAACCCTGGTCCCCACCAGTCCCATGGACTAACTGATCTCAGGAAAAAAGCTCTTCCCTCTTTGACCCCCAAGATCTCAAAAATCACAGTTCTCTACCTCAGGATGCATCCCTGAGGTAGTGAAATGCTCTGACCACCTCAGGAAGGCAAGCTCCTCTCCACATACCCTTGCTGTGGTTGTGGTTGTCCATGATGGTCCAAAAGTCAACAATGAACATGTGGTCCCACCCTTTCAGGCTCTGACTCAGCTGCAGCCACAACTGGCTTGATGTTCTGTTCAAGACCCACGGGGCCCGGTGCTCAGCACGGCGGCTCTCATGATCATAGGACACAAACAGTTGGTCGTCCACATAGCCCAAGGCCTCAAACAGTGGCAGGCCAAGGTCCGGCTCTGAGGCACCCATGAAGAGGTAGTGCAGAGAATGGGACCCTGGAGACAGAGCAACGGGCCTTCGTTATAGGCAGCAGGGGGACTAGGAAGCAGAGGTTCCACACCTGTGATTCAACTCATACCACCAGCTGTGTCTGGTCCTCATCCTGTGAAGCTTGAAACACAGTCCTGGCTCCTTTCTCTTTGTGCACCCTCTGCCACCCTCGTGTGCCCCTCGCACCCCATTACTCATGGTTAGTCAGATAACCATAGAACCAACACCGTAGAATCTTAGAAAATCCTAAATTGTCTCCATCCATTGTAGTTGAGCTCAGGAGTTGGTGCTCAGAGTTAATTGGGAATTTGAGGAATTTGCAGAGTGGGATTTATTTATTTATTTATTTTTTAAACCACTTTTGTTTTTGAACACTTTCATGTGCAAATGGTGACTGTGAAATGTTGGTAGATCCACTAATAAATAACTCAGGACAACTTTTCAACAAACAGAGGGAGCTCCAGGAAGCTGAAAAATAAAGATCTCTAGGCAAGTGAGTTTTCCTATACCTCTGTCAATTACAGACTGAGGGCCGTTCACAGGGAATGTATCACTAGTGCCCAGAAAGGCACTTCACAAAATTATGACTTCTAGATTTTTGCCACTTGATTTTAAACAAAAGGTCAAGAATTCGTAAAGAATATTTTCTCTCTCTCTCTCTCTCTCTCTCTCTCTCTCTCTCTCGCTTTTTTTTTTTTTTTGTGTGTGTGTGGCACTGGGTATTGGAACTAAGGGCTTCACACTTGTTAGGTAGGCACACTACCACATCCCCAGTCCATTAGGCTGGTTGGACACTCAAACCAATATCCCCAAACCAGGTGGTTAATTTCCCCCCAAATTGCTGACCTCCATGTTCACCATCTCAGAAATGGTCATCACTCCATTATGCAGCCCAATAAAATAAAAATAAAAAGTAAAATAAAGAACAAATCACTTTTGAATTTTCTTTCATATGGTCTGCTGTTCCCTAGCAAATTCCTTTAAAATATGTCCACAATTTGAGAAACAAATGTTTCTCAATCCCTCCTGTGGTCCCACCTATTGCATCATTTCCTGTCTGGATTAATATAAGGGCTTTCTGACTGGTCTGTCTTTACTGTTCCCTCCTTTTTGCTTTCCACACAGCATCAGAACAATGTTTTTAAAACTTATGATAGATCTGTTTCTCTTTGGTAGAATCTGTACTATAACTGTAAGGGCCTGCATTACCTTGACTGTGGGTCCTCTTCTGAGAGCATTGCTTACTTCTCCTGTAGCCCCTGCCTGTACTCCTTGCTTTTCCTTCAACCCAGTGATGTAATGTACATGTATAGAGACACACATATACACGTTAATATTGTGTATACACAAATATGCACATACACACACACACATATATATGTATAAATGACACATACTTATTTTTCAGGCAAAAGAATAATTGCTTAAGAGTTGAGAACGCCCCAAGGTAGCTTTCTCAGGGGGCTCCCATTCCAAGCAACCTCCACAGGTCTCACCACAAGGAAATGAAGCAGGATAGAATCTGAATCCCCAATGTCACAGTTCAGCACTTGTGCGAACTTGGGTTCATTCAGCCAAGTGTCTGCTAATCCTTCCCAGCACCCTGGTGTGGAAACACCTATTGGGGCATCCTGGCCAATGTCGCCCCTGATGAGAACTTCCTGGTCGAGAATGGCTAAGTAAAAACGGCAAAGTCAGTAAAGCTAAGATACAAGTCCAAGGTCCCCCAAGCTTGGCTCTGTCCAAGTGAGAAACTACACCCTTTATTTTTAAGCTTGGCGGTAGGTGGAGGGAGGGGTGGTTCCAAACGTCACTCAACGGCGGAGACTCCGGGCCCAGGGGCTGGCTTAGGTCGTGGGGGAGAAGGACCTCACCTAAGCTCCGCGACAGATGTCCTGTCCCGGGGTCTGGACCCAGAAAGCAGGGGGAGGGGACAGCGGCTGGGGCTGAGTAGCAAACCCCAAGCGTTTGGAAAAACCAGTTTCCTTTTCCCTCCCCGGCGCCCACACCCGCCCCGCAGCCCTCGGACTCACGCGGCTGTAGCCCCTGCGGGACCGCGGCCCGCACCAGCAGCAGGAGGAGGAGTGCGTGCGCGTCTCGCGGGCGCATTGCCCCAGCTCCGACCGCGCCCCCGCACCAATCAGCCTTTTCTTTGGGGTGAGGAAAGCTGGATGGCCAAGAGGTCACCTTGGAGCATTGCCCAGGTTCCAGAGGTGTCACATAAAAACTTCCTGGGGAGGGAGATCCTTTTCCGCCATTGGTGAAAATAAATGAATATCCAGAACTTGAAATTTCTCTCCTAAGGCCAAGAGTACCTATTTGTAATCACTCAGGTGACCAGGCTCTTCCCTGGTATTCAAATCTTGAGGTGGTGTTTCTGATTGGGGAAAGTGTATTTCAGGATTTTCTGATGTAAATATTCAATATTTAACTATTAGATAACTTAAAACCTCAATACATCTTCAAAACTTTTCGCAACTCACTGATCTTATTATTTGATTTAGAAATACGTTGGGCATCGTGGTTCACATCTGTAATCCCAGCACTAGGGAGGCTGAAGCAGGAGGATGGAGAGTCGAAGGCCAGTGAGATACTGTCTCAAAAATAAAAAACAAAACAAAAACAAAAAACTCAAAACAACAATAACAACAACAATAACAAAAACTAACAAAAAGGAAAATAATTTTTTGGTAAAAATTTGATTTTGTTGTTTGATTAGAATTAAAGCATGAAATTAAAAAATTAAGTTTTAGTGAAACATCTCTCAGAATGTATGTAATTAAATGATCTGCGAAGAGTTTTACTAACTTTCCAGCTCATTAAAATTACCTGGATAATCACATTGAGGCTCTGTTTCTATCCTCAGATACTCTGATTTAACTTGTATGCTTGCCACCTAGACATTGAGATTTTTAAACCTTCCCTTGGCAGCCCCATCAACAAAGTTGGAGAATTCTACTTTCCAACAAAGTTGAAGAAATGTTAGACATTTAAAACCACATGAACAAATTTAATATATCTCATTTATTCAAAATGTTTAAGTATGTAAAAAATTCAACATGCAATAATTTTCTAAGCGTGCATGTAAATTTTGACAATTTAAGTAAAAAAACAAATTTGGATATGGGGCCTCTTAACTCTAGGCAGAGAGATTAAATAAAAATGAGAAAATGACGAGTACACTGGAGTATTTTTATAACAGCTTTACTGAGATGTAATTAACATTCCACACAATCCATCTATTTACAATGTGAAAATCCATGGGTTTCACCGTATTAGTGGAAGTGTGCATCAACTACGACAGTCAATTTTCGAACATTGTCTACCTTCTCCAATTGAAACTTCCAACGTCAGTAGTCACTTCCTAAATACCTCTAATCTCTCTCACCCTCACTAATCACTAATGTACCTTTCTTTCTAGCTGACATTTCAGATACACAGAATCATAGGACATAAAGCTTTTGTTTAAGGGCTGGTAGAGCGCCTGCCTAGTAAGCATGAAGCCCTGAGTTCAAACCTCACTACAAAAAAACCTTTTGTTTTTGTTGCGTTAATATGTGTGCCTGACTTCTTAACTTCTTTCTGGTAGTACAATGTTTTCATGTACGCGTCATAAACCCCAAATATTCCATAGTAAGGTTATATCTCTATACATTTTATTTATGAATTCACCAGCTGATGGATATTTGAATTGTTTCTACTTTTTCACTGTTGAGAATAATGCTGCTATGAACATTGTTGTACAAATATTTATGTGGAATTAACGCTTTTATTTCTCTTGGACATATATCTAGGAGTTAATTTGGCAGGTTATATGATAACACTGTTTAGTCTTTTAAGGAACTGCCAAACTCTTTTCCAAAGTAGCTGTGAGTACCATTTCGCCCATCAGCAGTGTATGACAGTGATTTCTCTGCATCTTTGCCAACACCTCTTATTGTTCATCTTATCATTCTAGCCATCTTAGTGAGTGAAAATGTTCCTTGTGGTTTGGATTTGCGTTTCCCTGATGACCAGTGATGTTGAGGATATTTTTACTTGATGATTGACCATTTGTAATCTTGAGAGAAATGTCCATTTGGATCCTTGGCCCATGTTTTATTTGGGTCATTTGTCTTTTATTATTGTGTTGTAAGTGTTCTTTATACATTCTAGATATGTCTTATAAAAGGTATATGATGTAGAAATACCTTCTCTAACATAAGGAGTTATCAGTTTACTTTCTTGATGGTGTTCTTTGAAGCATAGGCATTTTTATTAATTTTTGGCATAGACATGTCAAACTTTGATGAAATACAAAATATTCTCAGTTACTTGCACTTTTGGAATCACATGTAAAAGACCATTGCTAAATCCAATGTCATGAAGCACAACGCCTATGTTTTCTTATAAGACTTCTATATTTTTTATTTTTCCATTTATAGTTTTGATCTATTTTGAACTTTTTTTGTATATACATTGGTTAATTTTGTGTGTCAACTTGACTGGGCTAAAAAATGCTCAGATACCTGGCAAAACATTATTTCTGGTTTGTCTGAGGGTTAATCTAAGAAGACATTAGCATTTGAATCATAGACCAAGTAGATAAGGTTGCCTTCACCAATGTGGGTACACACCAGCCAATCCTTTGAGGACTAGAAAGATCAAAGAGGCAGAGAAAGGGTGAATTTGTTGTCACATTGTGAGTTAGGACATCCATCTTCTCCTTCCCTTGGACATTTCAGTGATTCTTGGACCTTCAGGCTTACAAACTTTCTAATTCGATTTTGTGTTTCTGTAACAGAGTACCTAAGACAGGTATGTTACAATTAAATAAATTCATTTAGCTCACAGTTCTAAGGCAGGGAAGCTCAAGATCAGGCAGCTGCATCTGGCAGGGCTTCATACTGTATCATGACACGGCAGATGCCACAGCACCAGGGGTTCCCTTGCTTTATAGCAATTTTCTGTCATGGTAGCTAATCTACTTGCTTGACAGCCAACTCACTTCTTCAAAACCTGTTCCACAATTTAAAAGACTTAATCCAGTCTCTACAGAAAGACATTAATTCATTTTTGAGAATGCTGCCTATGACCTAATCACCTCCAAAGGCTTACCTCTTGATACTCCTGCATTGATGAATTAAGCTATGAGTTTTGGATGGCATAAACCATACCCAAACCATTGCAAGGACCTACCCCACCACTACTTTTCAGGCTTTCACACCTGGACTAAATTACACCACTGGTTTTTGTGGCTCTCCAGCTTCTGATTGGCACATGGCATTAGGTAGGAATCCAACTTCTTTCTTTTTCATGTGGACAGTCAATTGTTCCTTCAGCACTTGTTGAGAAAACAATTCTTCATTGAATTGTTTTTGCATCCTTGTCAAAAATCAATGGACTGTAAACATGAGAGTTTATTTCTGTACTCTCAATTCTATTCTGTTGACCTATACTGACTTTATTCTTATCTTTATGTTAGGACTATACTGTTCTGATTATTGTAGCTTCATACTAAATCCAGATGTAACATTTTTTCCAATTTTTTCTTTTTCAAGATAGTCTTGACTGTTCTTGGTCTGTCAAATTTCCACATGAATTTCAGGATCTGCTCATTAATGTCCATTCTTCTTTTGCATGTATGTTAAGATTATAAGAAAAAAATACATTTTTTAACTTCTTTTTTTTTTTAATATGAGAAAAGGAAATAGTCAAAACCAGAACAGTGGACAAGACCATACATTGTCAATATTTAACAATCTGAAGGGGGTTTACAAATTTAACATACAAACAAAAAAAGAATGACCAGTCATATTCTGGAAGCCATGGAGTGGTTAGATGCCAAAACTTGCAGAGAAATAAGGGTCAGATACAATCAGAAGATTCCCTGTGGTATTTGGACATTAAGAGACCCTCAAGATTTCAGCCATAGACAGTTTAATAGGTGTCTGAGGAAAAGTGGAATAAAGGTGCATGAAAAAATTAGTACAAAGCTCAAATATCAGGTATAAGAATGGACTGAGCAGATGAGGAAAAAGTCCTTGCCCCAATCTTGAGCCACTCTTCTCTGGTTCTACCTTCTGCTCTAAGCATGCAAAAATGGTGGAATTAAACACTCACAATGAGTGATAAGATGGAATCACACCAAATGACTCCCACAATATAAGAATCAGAATCAGTTCATATTGGCTTGGATTCAGGTTTCTATATCTACTTGGGGAGGGGTTTAGACTATCGGCTCCATGCACGAAGGGAATTGGTACATAGCTATGTCTGTAGGTGAAGGGGCTGAGAAGCATCACACAAATTGCAAAACATGAGAAAAGATATTTTATCCAAACCTCAGAAAAGTGATTGCAGAGCAGCTTTTCTTTGTAAACCTGTCACAGAACATCATGGCAAATGTATGTTGGGGAAAGGCATGGAGTGGATGTTATGTAGATATGAAACCATGCATTGTCCCTGCTACAGTTTAGATCTGAAATGTCCCCCAAAGACATATGCTAAAGGTTTCCCTACCAGCCTGTGGTACTATAGGGAGATGGTGTAACCATTAAGAGGTGGGGACTGGTGGAAGGAAATAAGATTACTGGGGCATGCCCTTGAAGGGGATATTGAGATTCTGGCTCCTCTTCTCTCTTTGCCTCTTGACCACCATGAGGTGATCAAGATGCTTCCACTGTCATGATGAACTTAACAAGCCCAAAGCAACAGGGCCAAGTGACTGTAAACTGAAAACCCCTGAAACCATCAGCCAAAGTAATTCTTTTCTCCTCTTTTTGTATTGGTGTGGGGTGGATTTTTTAGAGACAGGATTTCCTTATGTTGTTCAGGTTGGCCTGAAACTTGGCATGTAGCACAGGCTGGCCTCAAACTCTTGATCATTCTGCCTCAGCCTCCCAAGTATTACAGACATGTACCACCATACCTGGTTTTCCTCCTTTTAAGTTGTTTATCTCAGGTACTTTGTCACAAGGATGGAAAGCTGACTTATACACCCACATACCATTTGCCAATAATTCTTTTCCATCTATCTATGGGAAAGATTACATCTCCCCAAAGATATGTTGCTTGGACCTTTAGTGCCTATGAATGTGAGCTATTTAGAATAGGGTCATTGAAGGTGT